TGGAGTAGACAAATATCCACGCTTGTAAGCTTCATCGAGCGCGCGCTGCCAAGCGAGGTCACGATGAAGGATATCGAAAACTTTGCTAGGTTGCTGCGCCCGAAGCGAGATCGGGAGGTTCTCTTCCAAGATAAATTGAAATGATCCCTTGGGCATGCCAAGCGCCGGTAAAGCCAAAGCTTCAACTGTCCAGAGCCCGATCTCCGAGGTAACGTCGACAGAGGAAATCCCCCCACCTAGTATGCAATCCCAAAGGTCCACGCGACGCTCGATGCGAAGGTTTTTATTTTTGCGGCAGTATGGAATTAGCCCTCTGGCATGGCACTCTGGAAAAGCAGCAGCTCGGCTGTCTTCCACCAGCGTGACGTTGCGAAGGCAATTTTGTGATGCCTCGGGCAAAGAGCGAACGAAATTGATGGCGGCGGAGGCGGCTGAGTAGGAGTTATATCCTTTGGGCGCTGTCGGTGATCCTTCCCGGTGCGTAAACTCCATGTCCGGAATCGCCTGACCTCCAATGATAGACCACGGTTCGTATTCCTCCCACGCATGTTGAAAGGTGTGACTCTGACATCCCCAACGATATCGAGAGTTCCGATTTGCTTGTCTGATTGTGTCGTAGTCCCATACACGTGTCAATGCTCGCATCATGCCGTGGATTAGATCGCGTTCAACCGAGCGTGCTTCGCCATATGCAGAATTCGGCCAAGCATGCGCACATACAGCAGTCCGACATTCCGGCTTGAACCAATTGTCGTAGAAGCCCTTCGGTATCTTGCCCGTATACAGATGCAGTTCTGCTTTGACGGTTTCGGCACAAGCAGGATGAGATGCGTATGAGTGGACTACATCGCTTCTGTGACGATCCAACTCGAGCATCATGTCGTTGAATAGTGCCGCGCTCCGACGAATGTCCTCATCCTCGACCGTCGTGAAAGTAACCCTGTTGATTCTGAGCGAGTTGTCTCGTGTCTCGTAGTAGGCTGAACGGCAGGTATAGGCGAAGGCATGATCTGGAATCTGCCCGCTCTTGGTGCGCAACGTGTTGCTTGCAAAGTGGTAGAAAAGGCCTTTGTCCACGGCCGTGTAATATCCGTAGATCACATTTCTAATCTCGGCTGGGAGCCTAAAGAATGGAGATTGCAACTGCGCGTTATTTGTCTGCGCGATGACTTTCTTAACCTCTTCTCGAGCAGGCCTGGGAAACAGGACGCGTGCTAGTCTGTTGACGTCGTCGGTGCGCATACGTCGAGGTCCTACGCTGGGAGTGTCTGACCACTGCATGTTGATGGATGTCGAACGGTGAAGGTGGATATACAGGCGAAACGGCTAAGCTGCCAACTGGAGTGTTAGTATATTAGGTCTTCTTTGGAAATAAGTAGTGAAATTCCATAGGGTGTCAAGTTCAAGAATCGGCCTCAGGTAGTCCCAGGGCTCATCAGGGCCCTGTCCCTATAACTAAGGTATTGCGCTAACACGCGAGGCACTCCGGCGAGCAACATTACAACTATCGCAATTGTAACATTTGATAAAATATGGGCAGGTGCAACGGAAGCAACAGGAGAGGATCGCGGATACAAGAGCACGCCGCATCTCCCGAACGACGCGTGGCGATCTTTAGCGCGTAGGTCAGGTGTTAGCGTGATGTTGCGGGCGCGCTTCGGCGTTCGTCAGCGTTCCCGAATGTTCTACGTCATCCTCCTCATGTACCTACGAATCTCGCACCATGCCTCCAGACATGCACCGAGTGCGATAACACCCTCAAAGCTGATCACGAGACTCTTCAAAGATGGACGTTCAACTGTATGTGTATGATCTTTCTCAGGTAAGTGGCGGGAACAGATGTACTTGCGCGCGCTTTCGCGACGCCCTCGAAAGTCTCCTCGGACTGACGGTATCCAGGGTCTTGCGCGAAGCATGTCGCGGCAATTCTTGGGCATTCAGGTAGGTCACATATCTTCCGATACTCGGTGAATCCGCTGACACATCCTTCCGAACAGATTGATGCCGTATATCACACCTCTATCGTACTCGGCGGCATAGAATACTACTACGGATCAGGCGTGCAGACATGCCGGGCGGGCACCACTCACCATGGCCGGCCGATGGAGGTCATCAAGCTGGGGCAAACTGCGCTTCCTATGGAGGTTATACTAGAGTACCTCGAGTCTCTGAAGGAAATATACACGGCCGAGGTACGGCTCCGTTCAGCACTTTTGCGCAGGCTCTGCTGACAGTCCATCCAGTCATACGATCTATTCGCGCACAACTGTAACAACTTCTCCAACGACTTCGCCATGTTCCTTGTCGGCAAAGGAATACCAGACCACATCACTTCCCTCCCGCAGACCGTCCTGAACACGCCGTTCGGACAAATGCTCAAACCGCAAATCGACGCCGCTATGCGACCCATCGTCCAAGCGCCCACACCGCAGCCGGTACAACCGCAAGCCCATACGAAAGCGTCGACTGCAAGTACATCCAACGGGGCCTCTTCTGGGGGTAGTGCTTTGGAAATGAACACGGGCAGGGTCAACAACATAACAACGCTGAAGGACGTGGACCGCCTTCTCGACCTCGCGAATGACCGTTGCGCCATCATCTTCTTCACGAGCTCCACATGCGCGCCATGCAAGTTGGTGTACCAACCGTACGACGACCTCGCTGCCGAGACTGGCACCAAATGTGTCTTCATCAAAATCGACTTCAGTCACGCCGATCGCTCCATCAACACTCGCTACCCGAACGTTCGCGCGACCCCAACATTCATAACATACCTCAAGGGCGAGAAGCGAGACGAGTGGAGTGGAGCTGATCCGAGGCAGCTACGGAATAACGTGGAGATGCTGGTCAACGCTGCGTTCCCGGCGCACCCACATCTCGAGAAGAGCACACCCATGCTGTTGCGGCAAAGGCAAAGGCCTGTCAAGTTCACCAAGGTGCCGCCACTGGAAAAGCTGGTCGTGAAGATGGGAGATGCAGGAAAGGAGCCAGCTGTGTCGTCAGTTGTATCTTTCATACAGACCCGCGAACAATCTGGGGCCATAGAAGCACCCCTAGGGGATCTGCCGCAGTTCGCCAGCTTCCTGAGAAACAGTACCTCAGTACTCCCGCCAGAGCTTCTATTCACGGCCCTAGATCTGCTCAGGGTGGCCTTGACCGACGTTCGCGTGGCTGGCTTCTTTGCGGAGGAGCACAAGGGAGCAACTGGCACACCTGCCACTATACACCATCTGCTGGACCACGTTGACAAGCTGGGCGATTCCGCGCCTTACCCTCTTAGACTTACGACACTGCATCTCGCATGCAATCTCTTCTCATCGCCACTCTTCATACCACACCTCCTCTCTCCCCCGCTTTCGTCCACACTGATCTCCATCCTGACAACCGCCCTCCTCGACGAGAAACATCCCGCGCTCAAAGCCTCGGCTCTCAGCCTAGCAATGAACATGACATCTTCGAACCATCAAGTGCGCATGAAGAAGCACAGCGCAAACCAGTCTACGCCTTCGTCTTCGGAGACCGAACTCCCAGAAGCAGAGCAAGGCGAGCTTCTGGCTTCGCTGCTGGAAAACATCGGCACCGAAGAGCAATGGAGCGAGAACCAGAAGATGGGTATCATATCTATTGGTTGGTTAGTGTATGCCGCTGATATGCAGGGTGAGCTCAGGGACACCTGGAAGGTAATGGATGCTGCAGGTACGATCGGCAAGGTTGAAGCGAAAGATGCCGAGGATCGACTGATGGTTAGGGAAGTGAAGAGCCTGTTAGAGTTGTAGCTACCAACATGGAGTCTAGCCGGATACCTTCATCGCAGAATGTTTCCCCATCCCGATATGACGATCGCTAATAGCGTCGCATGTAATGATCTGCTTTGACCCAGTTTACAGACCGGCCCCGCTGATTCCGGGAAGTGTTACATTTGATACCACCATCACTGCAGACGCTACCTCTGATCACCCGTAGTTGAGAGCTGTGAACTGGAGCGCGTTTGGGTAACCGAACACATTGTCATTGCCAACGTCACGTGTTTGTGACATACCTATAACGGGCTGAGCCGTCCGAGGCATGAAAGCAACACAGTATTCCAGGTATATTTCCAATTTGGTCCTCGTCTCGACTTGTTGACTGTAGAGAAGTTCTCATCTAGATTTTCGCAAGGAACAGGGTAGACACAGCCGCACCAGTCTTGCGTGCAGAATCGTGACATACACCTCACAAAACCTTCGGCCCCGAGGCGTACCCCTGATCCATTTTCTTCCAATTCGCTCTCTCCTCATTACCCGTCTCACTTCACAGCCCTTCTCTTTCATATATAAGTACGTTCTTTTCACACTCATCCTTGATCTTACTCCCTCTTTGCCAACATCTTGTCGAAGTCATGAGTCACTCACCCTTGGTCCGCACTTTACATGGCCGTCATGGCGAAGCCTTGCTCGAGCTCGAATTATCATCACGCAGGTACTATGACGAAATGGACGACAAAACCCTCTCCGCTCTCATCCGGAAATATGATATTGTTATGGAACATATCGTGCCGATGTGTCCAAAAATTTGGCAATGGAAGGTACGCACATTGTCTGGGTTCTAGATCACATCATTGACATCTTCAGGACCCTATTCTTGACAGCTTGTTGGATATTATATTCCAGGAGATGACGCATAACCCTACTTGCGAAGCGAATATGAGGGGCGCCATCATAGTGCCGAGTGGAGAGCTTGACGATGACGAGAACAGTATCTTTCAGCTCTATAGAGTCCACTTCCCGTATTGTGATGCCAGACATGCGTTATGGATTCGACGAGGGCCCATACACGACAGTTCGGAGCTAGAACTTAGCGAACATATCTCCGACACCAGATTGAACGAAACAAAGACGCATTTCAATCCCGAATACTGGACTTCCGCTAGAGTCTGGTTGAGACACCACTACGGCGGACAAGGAGCCAGGCAAAAGGCGTTAGAGAGATACCAGAATCAAACAGGCATACCTTTCCGGCTCATGGATCTGCCGATAGAGATCCGACTGATGATATACGAGTTCTTGGTCGGAGAGCAGATTTGGCCGCACTCTGACCCGGAACTTCATGCCCATGTCGAACAAAGCCACGAAGCCGCTGTGGCTGAATTCAGTGCGAAATCATGGACTGATGGGATAAACACTGGGGTGTATCCGATCTTATTCGCCAAAGTCCAGAGGAAGAAGCGTCACTTCAAGCGTGCGGATCGTTCGGTCGAAAACGAGACATCACCAGAAGATTCGCATGTCGGCCTTGGTCCTACTCGAGATGTACAAGCAGCGGCGATGAATCTCATGCGTGCCAATCGGGAAGTCCGCCGAGAAGTCGCAAAAGCTGTATGGGGTAAGTCTATCAAGCGCTTCAACCGGCTGCGTGTTCTGAATGACACCGTCTACTATCTTCGCAGATACTGCACGAGACAAGAGTTGCCAGGCCATTCGTTCCCGCCTCGCGACCCTCTGGTACTACAGCGTGTATCGCTAAGTCTCTCCAACGAGGAGTATTTGCATTTCGTCGGCTATGAATTTGACCATCGTCGTATCGTACGTCGCGATGCTGAGGGCGGCTTGAAGATGTTGGCAGGTATACATACCTTGCAACACTTGAACCTCCAGTTCCAGATTTTCGAGCCGTCTCTTCAGCCGCTGCCTGGTGAGGGGGATTATTGGGAGTATCGGACGGATTGTTGGACACCTCTCGACGGTCTGACGTGCCAAAAGGAGCTTGTCAATATCATCTTGACACTGGGCTACGACCTGCTGAAAAGGATCGAGAAGGTTACCATTTCTGGGCACGTGAAGCGATCAGCCCATGAGAAATGGGATCCTTTGTTGCGCGGCGAAGCCTACATCAAGGCATCTGGTAAGAAGGGCGACATGGCAGCGGATGTTGCAGAAATTCTAGCTACACCCGATTCGACATAGTAAGTGGCCCTTCCACCGCCCGGGCGGGTACTTCCTCTGTGCTAACAACATTGTTAGTCCGCCAAAGTGTGAGTGTGAGAGTCCATGTGAATGGTGGCGGTTTAGGGACGAGGATGGTGAATTCCACAAGATTGTGCATCATGAGTTCTCATATGAAGATTGAGGGTGGCGCATTGCAGCGCGGGAGACAAATGTAATATTTTCCTGCGAACATAGCCGTTTTGGGTTCGATAACATACTCGTGGAGGAACGCGGATGCGTGTAGCCAGTGCGAGGTGTTGGGGAACACGGCCGCATTGAGTTTAGCCTCAACACTTGCCAAGGTGCCGTTGTGATTGCCTCGTCCAGGGGCTCTAGGCCGCCACCAGGGATAGCAAGAATTCTTTGTGTCTCGTTCTTCGATATACTATCAAGATGGAAGTATGCATTGTCTTGGTGGTTGCTCAATTACCGAAATTTAGTCAATGCCCAGGTGCCAAATGCCACACAACTTCTAGTCATCTCAATGCCGCACTCCGCGGTCCGCGATTGGACGGGTGCCTCGGGATCGACGTTTAACACACCGCACGGATGTGTTGATTCAATCGCAAACGTTGCCTCTTTGCGACATTACATTTCTTGGTGACCCTTGAGAAGGTGGTCTATAACTACATATCATGGTTTAGGTGCTCGAACCCATTCCTGGCCATCATTTGCCGTTCTGTCTTGTCTTCTTTTTCGCCTTCTTTTTGCTGACCTTATCTTGGCCGACCCTGCCATCGCCGACTGGCTCTCGCTTGGCCTTCCATCCGCGCAGAGCTGCAAGCTGGGCCTTGAGCTCCTCTGGTGTCAGAGGTACAAGGTCCTCGCCCTTGCCATCTTCCCTTCTGACTACCTTCTTACCAAGGACGAAATCCACATCACCAGGCCTGTTCTGTGGCAGACTACGGTCACCTATGGGCCATCGACCGTGCTTTTCCCAGTATGCGCGCCTGCGTTCCAGTCAACACAGTTTGAGGTCGATGGGCATGCACGAGGAGCTCATCGAACATCACGCTATTGCGCAGCATGAATATACACCTACCTTGCACCTGCCTCAGCCAATTTATCGGCTGCCTCATTGCCGGGATCACCAGCGTGTCCTTTGACCCAAAAGAACTCCGTCGTCGCATCCCTCCTTGATCTTCTTTTCTTTAAAGCCATAACGCGCTCAATCAGATCCATGTTCAAGTGCTCTATACCCTTTGGCTTTAGCCAACTTCTGTATTCCCATGTGTCATACCACTTTTCGACAATATTCTTACAGTACTTGGAATCGGTACGAATCAGTACGTTCATAGTCAGAGGAGCGGCCGTGAGCGCGTCGAGGATGGCGGAGAGTTCGGCGCGTTGATTGGTCTGGGGGCCCAGGCCAAGCGGGCGGCCAATGTTCCTGCGTCGGGGTAGATCAGCGAACAGAACTTCAGGGTGCGCAGTCGCTTTTCGTAATGTTGAAGGAGATGAAGGGAGTGAAAGAAGGGTCTAGGTGAGTTTCATGTTACTCACCTTGGATCTGATACTCCAAAGAACACGCCGACGCCAGCTGCAGCTTCGGCCTTTCCGTTACCAATCGAACTTCCATCAGTACTGATTGTGAGAAGATCCTCATGATCGAGGGGCTCCCGAGCTGTAGCTGCCATTGTCATTGAGGAGAATGTGAAGTACTCGTCATCGAAAACAGCGAAGCTATGGCAACTCGATCTCCTACATGGATGCGATGAGATGTCAAAAATCACTCTTCGGTAACTGGAGACTGCGCAATGCGTGTGCTTCGGGAAAAAACCACCGCATCCCCAATGCAGAGCCGTACTTCCTTGCCCTTGCAACGCGCACAAGTACAGTCGCGATGACCATGGTACTGCGATGCCGCATCGCAGAGGAGTTACATTTGCGCACATGTCATAGCTCGCGCGCTAGAGTCCGATCGGAACCTTGGGGTTATACGTCGATGTAAGACCCTTGATTTAGTCAATTGAATGCCTCCATCCCGATCTCAAAGGCTACACCTGACCCATGAAACCTCCCGAGGTCGAGTTCCGTCTGCATTCGGAACCTACAATGACCGGCTACTACCACGGCGCAACTATGACACTTCGTTACAAAAAACTTCCGTGATATCATTCCGAGCAAGCGCATGAACCTGCCCAGGTGGTTCGACGGGTAGGGTACAGCTTCGCATTTCCCTCTAGCGCAGCCCCACATTGATCTTACCCCGCCGGAAGACTGGATACGTCCACACTGTTGGTGGGTGGGTGGTGCGCTTATCCTCCTGCATTTCAGACTGTCAAACATGGACGACGATGTTGAAGGTATGTACTGAAACCTAGGCGACGTCACGAAGAGCTCGAATACCAGATTCTTTTCATATCTCGGGATCGGTGCCCAGGTGTACTGCTCATTTCGGCTCGCCAGTGGGATACCGATGTGTTCTGAGGTCCACTCCATGAACAAACCAGCTGCTTCATCCCGAAATAAAGCTGTGTACTTGGATTATGGGACGTATTTAATGAAGCGGGCCCCCGACTACATCGCACCATTGTTGTGGCATCTCGGATAGCACCTAAGCATCGCCTTCATCCAGATCTTTTTATCTTCGACAGCGCGAACTCGAGTAAGGGACGATGAATACATCCGTTGGAAGATTCCAGATGTTGAAGGAGTATCCCCAGGAACTCAAGATGCCCAATGTGCTTGACCTTGACATCACCGGAGCATACGATTCGAGACCAGAACCCAAAAAAACTACCAAATCCGTAGGTCCACCTCCAGAGTCCTTGAATATAGTGGAATAAAGTAGCTAACATGGTTAGGTGTCCGTCCGCAGTCTTTCGAAAGCGTTCTACACACTCGGTGGAATGATTCACGAAGAGCGATCCAAATGCTTTACCTTCTTCGGTAACACGGACCAGATTCGAATCATGCCCGGGTCACCCAAGAGACATGCCGTCGAGTTCTTCACGCTCGTGGTACCGGACAGCGACAAGGACCACACATCCTTCCATATCAGCGTCCGATGGAAGCTGATCAACGGCAACAAAGAGCTCTTTATCCACCGCTACGGTGCTATATGGTGTTCATGGCTACCAGCTAGGCAGTGGTTGAGACAATACTACGGCACGACTGTACGCAAGACGGCACTCTGGTTGGACTACGTCAATTTCTCCGGCCAGAAATTTCCCTTCATGCGCCTACCGGCAGAGCTTCGCCAAATGGTATTCGAAGCTGTGGTAGGGCCAGTCTTGTGGCCCCGCAAGCGTGATCCGCGGGCGTCTGAGTACAGGCCGATAAGGCTGTTAAGGTCGTCTGAAGGCGAGCCGCACGCAGGGAGCATGTCCGCTCCTATAACCTGCCAGGAACGTCCGCAGAATCTTTTGGATCCCCGTCTCATTTGGCCTTCGGGATTGCATGTCAGAAACCGCGGAACGTCCATGGAATATGCAAGCGCATTCTGCCGTTCCGCCCGATGCTCGCAACACCTGAAATACAACCCAAAGGGCAGCTTGAAACCTTTGTTGTTGGTCAGTAAGGCATTCGGTATCGAGCTTCAGCAGACTACGTGGCAATCTACCACGAAGCACTTCTACTACGGACGAGACATTATCCAGACGATCCCAAGGATTCAGATCCTCCCATTCAACAGCCTTCGCCGTATATCTCTAAAGATGTCCAACTTAGAGTACTTCCGGCTGTTGGGATACGGAAGCACCAAGACCATCGGTTTCGCCCCGATAACCACACCCCGACTGGGTTCACTAGCGCTGGAGATGCTCATGGGCTTGGACAAACTCCAGTTCCTGGAGTTTGGTTTTATCACCGGTCGCTCTGATCACGGTCACAGAGAGTGGGCTGACCCGTGGTCTACGTACCCTCTGTACGAGGTTTCTTGCCAAGCTGAATTCGTTGACTGGTTCTTCACGTTGCTGTATGCGAAGTACACGGCGGCGAAATCGGACACTCGTCTTATCCCGCATGTCACATTCACCGGCCATGTCAAGCACATTACCCGTGCTCATTGGGAGCCCATTTGGAGGAGTCTGAAGTGGGGGGTTCGTCACGACTTCTCGTCCAAGATCGAAACGATCATTTCGACTCCCGTCGAGCAACTGTGAGTAATATTGCTCTGTGACCTGTGATTTCTCTAACTTAAAACGTAGACCACCGCGCTGTCATTGTTCCCACCGATGCGACTTCTGGAACAGTTCTGACGAGGGACTCCGTGCGTTCAGATGCGGAGATTAGCGCAAATGGGGCTGGCGGTGAAATTATCATCAGGCGCAAAGGGATACAGTAAAATCATGCAAGTAGAATGGCGATGATTCCATGAATTGATCAATCTAAATTACTGGAAGATCGAGCCGCATCGCCCACCATATCTGTATGCCCATAACTATCAGGTTTCAACCGCCGGTTATAACGCGCAGACACCTAGTCAAAGATGCGTTGATATCGAATAGTATGCCATGGTGCCAGCGGTGCCTCTGTCTCATATTCGCGCGGCTCGTGCGTGTCCCAGTTCCTCGTCCAATCTGACATGGTCCATGTACGATGCTCTTCTAACATTTCGGCGACATCAAATGGTAAACCGGGATCGAAGTTGCAAGTGATGAGTGACTCTTCGTCTGACAGTTTCTGGACGAAATTTGGAAGTCCTTCGTATAGGTAGCCTACACGAAGCCGTCGCTCCAGCCAAGAGGGTGCAGGCAACAAGCCACGAGAGTAGGCCTCGTCAAGGGCAGATTGCCAAGCGATGTCTCTTTGCACTACTTTGAATACATCAGAGGTATGCTGCAAAGTAGGCGCGCCATCAAAGACAAGGCGATAGGACCCTTCTGGCATTCCAAGAGACGGCAAGGCCATTGTTTCCGCCATCCATGCCCCGAGAGCTTTCGATATGTGCTTGGAAAGCAAAGGATCGCTGACGACATTGTACATGTACTCCGGGTACTGGCTTGCCAAAATGTAATCCATCTTCTTCTCGGGCGTGACCGGAAACGCGTTTTGCCAAAGACTCACAACGCGCTTGACGCGAAGCTTTGGGTTGGACTGACACAGACCAATAAACCCTCTTCCATGACACTTCGCATATGCCACAGATTCGTGGTCTTCGAGCAGTGTGAGGCTCCTTATCTCACTACGCAAAGCGTCTGGCAGCGTGCGAAGGAAGCGAAGCGCATTGGAAGCCGCAGAGTAGGTGTACTTCGTCTTGGGTTCGTAAAACGGTAGCGTGGGTTCAACGTCGACGATGTGTGCTAATCGCTTCAGCTCGACGGGATCGGGAATGACCCAAGGCTTTGGTGATGTACGAGTCAGTTGAGTAGCGCGGCATACGCTATCTGAACCCCAGAGTCGAGGTATAATCAACGCTCTTGTGACGGCTAAGACATGCTTCGACACTAGTTTCAGAACGTCGTGTATGAAGCCAGGGATGAAGTAAGGTCTCGATGACGCATCATTCGCTTGGAGAGTGTAGTACTCGATATCTGGACCCCAGAGTCTAGTTATAGCAGACGCTCTTTTGCCGAACAACGGATGTTTTGACATCAGATCTAGAATGTGGTGTTTGAAATCAATCCAGACCGAAGGGGCCTCTCCACAATGAAAGTTCTTCCTGTAAAGAATAGGTATGTCGCTTTGAGGCGTCCAATCGTCGAACACTGACGCAAATTGCGGATATGCTTTGGCCGCTAGCTCGGCCATGTCGCGTGTGAGTAGCTGAGATACAAGCGAATAGATCATGATGTGCTTTTGGTGCATGACTTCGCCTACGGTAGCGTGAAGTACAGCTGCCGCCTCCTGTGTTCGTTGCGAGTGTGACGTCGAGAATGTAATTGTGTTGGTGCGAAAGGCGAGGCCTCGGACCTCAGACGCGACCTGTCGACAGGTAAGAGATAACGACAGCGATTGTATAGGCGAGCTATCCGCCTGCGTAAGTTTGTCTTGCTCAGCATTGTAGAAGTAGCCGTTTTCGATCGAATAATAGTCCTCGTAGATCATGTCGCGGAGCTCGCGAGGCAATTGTAAGAAGGCAGACATCGTGGAGGCTTTGGGAAGACACGCCGTCGCTCCTAGTCGTTTGCGTCTGAAAGAAGTCGTTCAGGATGAAGAGAGTGCGCCTTCAATCCAGACTGCGGTGTAGTGTTTCGGGCAGGTTATTGAGATAGTACTTCAGTATACAGTATAATTGCGATAGCTGTGATGTTGTTTGCTGGAGTGTCTGGTGCGTCACCGCAGTACTGTATTCGTGTGTGAAGGCTCCTAACTGAGAGGAGTCGTGCCTGAGTACGGTGTGCACAGTATGCCGGATCACTATTTCGAACAGTGTGTCGACGTGGGTGAGACTGGACGGAGTAGATGGAAAGGGCACAGCAGAAGACGATGAGTTTTAAGTAAGTACGTGCGAGGGTTCGCGCAGCTTGGTAGCGAGACCACGTAACTTGGTACGACGAACCACGAACGCGCACGTGAACTCGTCGTAAACCCCGGTTGTGCACACGCCTCATACACGAAAAACAAAAGGACTTACCAGGGCTGCGGACTACATCAACATGAAAGCTTGCAAAGTGGGTGACCTAACGTCAACGTAGGCTCCAAGGTATTCAGTGTTTTCCTACCTAGGTAGGTTCCAAGGATGGCTTGCACACCGACGCGAACTTCACTCGACATAATATCACGAGCAAATGGAACATGATCAAGGTGGACCGCCCACCAGGTGAAGGTACTGCTGCTGCATGATCCATGAGACTCTTGGCGGCACCGAAATCAATCGAGCGACACCACAATCTGCGGGCCCAGAGTCTCCGGATCGTACCCTCCACCTGGTGCCCTTGGCATAATTTATTAGCAAACCAATCCCACAGCGCAAACTAGTCCAAAAAGAGCAAGGTCCGTTGCTAGTACACAAAAAGACGTATTTCCAAAAAGGTCAAAATCCCACGTTCGGCTGTGTGTCAAAGTCAGTAGTGTACGACGGAGAAGTGCATGTTGCCTGGCAATGGGAGAACGTACAGGTGCAGGCGTCGGGCGGGCCGAGGCTCGGGTCCTCGGCGCTGCTGCCTCCGGCGTGGTCAAAGCTTTCAAAATTTGGAGCGGCAAGGCAACCGTCCCACGACTGTGATCAACGTTAGCACCTCCAGCAATGCAACAGTGTATCATCGCACACTCACACACCAACGTCCACCCACACCACAGCGGGGAGGATTACAATACGATTACTTGCGTATCTATTAGCATGCGACTCTGCCCAGAACGTCATTAAACTTACCATGTCCTCGACGGCTTGTGACCGACCGAGCCATGGATCGCGAAGCGACACTGCAGTCTTGTCAGCAAGGCGTTACGGTTCAGACCGCGATTGCGGCGCCACGTACAAATGCTGAAATCTCAGCTTGCAAAATCGTGCTTCCGCTGCAGGACAATCATGTCAGTCGATGGCTCGATGATGGTGGCGGTTCACGTACCACATACACCCTCCATCCTCCACCTCCATCCTCATCCCACTGTTGCTCGTCAGCCCTTCTGATCGGCGCCAAATAATTTTTCCAAGCTTACCAGCTTACGGCAAAATCAGAGATCCAAAGACTCGTTGCTGCCACTAGTCAGTTCGCCGACTCGCAAAGGACTTCGCTTATGCATACAAGACGCAAACAGCAGCTCAAATCCGATACTGAAAGCTGCACCGCTGCCATTCGTCAGTTTGCTGGCGTCTAGGCAAGTGAGTGGCGGTCGCCGTACATACGCACACCGAATAAGCCCTCAACTGCGTCGCCGCTGGTACCAGTCAGCTTGCTGATTTGCGAGCAACGTACTTTCATTTGACGTACACACCTCTTTCGTAAGTCCTCCTGGCGTTGGCAAGTCTAGCATCATTAGCTCGCGGCACTCAAGCGAAAGGCCTCCGCTTTCTGTACATGCCTACCTGAAGCTGATCTTATTGCTAGTCGTATCGCCTCCCTACTATCAGTCAGCTTACTGTCTTGCGAACAAACCCATGTCGGGCCTACCTGCCTCCACACCTACATCGATCGCATCCTCGTACCGCGTCGCTACTACTAGTCAGTTCGCTGGCGTCCAGACTATCCCCAGCATGTCTATCTACCTTGTCGAAGCTTCCATGGACCGCCCCGAGACTGCTGCTACAGCTAGTCAGCTTGCCGGTGTTCGCGCAATACTTGGTCGACTACGGTACATACCCGAAAAGGAAGCCCTCGGTCAGGCTGTCCTGGTGATTGTCGTGCAGACTGTCGTCAAGGCTTGGGTGCCATTAGCTACGGCGATCGAATGGCAGTTGTCTTGTGCTGTACATACCCATCATGGAGGCCATCATCAGAGCTCTCGAGGCCTGCCTCACCCGTCCTTTTATTCGATTAGCTAGGCCTATAGTCATCGTCGAAACGGGAGGTTACTTGTGTCGCGTCCCGAGACTGCCAAGACTGTCGCTACTGTCGATACTGTCGATACTGTCGAGATTGTTGTGCCGCCGCCGCAAAGGCTCCCGACTTTGCTGGTCAGCGATTGCAATGCACAAGGCTAACTGAACATCACATACTGCGTGGACCGAGACCTTCCATGGTCCTCTGTCATGGCCGAGCCTTCGAGCAACTTGCCGGCGACATCTAAAAAGGAGGTTAATCACAGCTTCGTTCTCGAGGACAGGTTGAAACGTACGCAGGAGTTCTTTCGCAGGCCGTGCCCGCTCCGAAGGGAGCAATGGGATGGTCATCGCATCGCCAGCGTCACCCTTCCTGCCCAGGGCGATCCTGTTCGAGTGAGTATTACTGTCAACTCGGACGTCTTTCTTATTCCAGACGCACCGTCGATTATCCACGCCATCTATACCCACGACTTCGCATACGAGCTCAGGCTACAGACGGCTCCGCCTACATTATCGACGTACAAGGTCAGTAGATGTCTCACATCCAGCTTAAGCAATAGAGATCTAACCTGCAGAGATAAAGGCAGCTATTATGTGCCAGCGTAAGGCGTTTGTTAGAATCCTTGGCCAGAGTGGCGATGAATGGACTGAAGGGGACAAGGCGTTCAAGGCCCGCCTCCAGTGTGATCTGTAGTTGTCAACTTTATTGAACACTAGACTAGCTGAATTGGATTGCTTACGATGCTGTCGAATGGATGGCAGCTGTGTTGGCGTTCTACCATCGTAGTCGCCCTTGAGGACTGAGCTGTGACCTTCTCAGTAAACATGTCAGAGTTCGCAAAAGAGAATTGAATGATGTTCACATACGGAGTGGTCGTCTTTGTCGGCTACTTAGCGTCTGCTGGTTAGAACCCGAGCAACATTGAAGAGACAGGGTCAATCGCGAACCTTGAGTCGTGTTATGTTGATGGCTGACTATCACCACTCAGTTTCACTCCGTACATCGGAGCCTGGGAGTCAGTCGCGAACTAACAGATTGAATGCGGCAAGGCGTTGACTAGTCATGGTTAGTATGCATCTCATCCACCGCGGTCAAGACTTGAGGTCGGGATGTACCATACTGATGTAGGCGTTGCTTGATGTCTACTCGCCGAGCGTTCAGTCTACGTTTGTGAAAACGCTTTTGGGGCGTGTAGAGGTATTAGGAAAGACGGCTGGTAGACTCACAAAGTTTCCCTTCTTGGCGAGGCCTCCTTGGTGACTGTTAGCAATTTGGCTCATTGCTGGGACTTTGTCTGCGACGGTCGAGACTTACGAAAGCAATGTGTTGTTAGTCTGTACTTACAGATGTCAGCAAACAAGGACATAAACAGCTTACTAAGGGAGTAGGCCAAAACCCACCAGAAGCCTCAGTGCCGATAGCAATATACACCAAATGTATCAAAATCTCAAAATCTCCCAGCGGTCCTGGGACGACTTCAACTACTTTATTAGCATGAGCGTCTTTGAGGATGGCAGTCTGACCTACAAGCTGGGCGTCTTTCGACGTCTTTTCACCAAACGGAGTCTGCAAAATCGGGCACAAGGCACCGTAAGGGGGTAAAGCATGTATTTTTCAGGATATGGTGTACTAGACTATACTATTGTAATGCAACAAATCCCAAGTTCGCTGTTAGTTTCCCACATAATAGACCCCTCTTGCTTCTTGCCGTCCCACCAAGCTTCTGCGTTCCTCCTCGACAGATCTCGACCAAGTCGTTTCCAGACCTCTCATCTTGCCGAACTACTTCTTGCCAATTAAGGTGCGATCACGCGGGAACTGATACGCCTTCTTGTTTCGTACCTTGTCGTATCGCTCGATCCCGAAGTACAGTATCGCCCATGACGCGGTAAGCTCTAGGTCGCCCTTGAGCAGATCGTCCCAATTCAGATGGCCAGCAGCGGCCCGGAGAAGCTTCCTCTCTTCTACCAACGCCTTGCAGTGACACACCAGATGTTGGGCGGTATGTATGTAATTGTGGCACAGTGGACAGATCTCGTCATAATCACCACTAACAATCTGCCAGTAGGGGTTAGACTTGAGTTCGATATTGCCATTCCGGAGAGAAAGCCCCATGGTACTCTGAGCAGCGTCCAGATTGATGAAGTATTTGAGGCTGTGGTCGGCGAAGTCTGGTGTGTGCGCTGCGTGGAAGTGCTTATACTCATGAGCACGTTCACGGAGGTGTTGAACCCACCACTCCTTGGCGGTTCGGAATACAGACAAGTTGTTGTATTCTTTGATCCATTGGCCGCGTCTCCATGGGTTGGCCCATCGTTTCTCAAACTCGCCGACGCTCAGGTCCCGTTGTGCGTCCGAACGGATGTCGTCGATCTGTTGAGCAACAAGCTTCCAGAGCCTCGCATAAGGATGATTATCTAAGGCATTTTGATCCGAGCATGCTCGTTCGTTCCGAGAGTCGATCTTAAGGCTTTCCTGTATGTTCTGATATGAGCCAAGAGCGTAGTGTCGGCAGCGATGATTCATCGCAATGTTGTACAGCTTCAGCAGGATGGGCTGCACATGAAATTCCTTCTCCATGGTCTGGACAGCAGTGTTCTTCCGTGACTTAGTAAGCTCCAAGAGGACCTCAATCTGTAAGCTTCCAAGCATCTTCATCCTGTCTTTCGTCAGGCTCCAGCGATAGCGTGGGTTGTCTTCGGTGTCGGTTGGGTCAGCGAGGAACCATACTGCCGCGGCATACGTAATCTTGGGGATGATCTTCGACAGGTAAAGCTGGCGTCGAGCAAGGAGGTCAGCACCCCAGGTGCCCGCCACGTATCGCTTGAAGTTGGCTAGGTCAACGCGAACTTTCCTCTGTATCTATTCAATGTTAGCCTGATAATCTAAGGCGACTGTTTTGCTTACTTCTTTGATGTGTGGTTCCCAAAACATCTTGAAATCGTAAGTGACCCCAAGTATTACCAGCTCCTCACGAAGAACACCCTTAGTCCGGTCTTCGGTAATGACAACATTCTCAAAGCCTGGAATCGCCGGTAACTCATCGGAACCCTTTGAACCAGGCACAGCAAAGTGCATGACATGGTATTTACTCGTCGAAAAGTGCAGATTGCTATCTGTAGCCCATTCGTTGAGCTGTTGGTGGATATCGGTCATCAATGTGCAGTTCTGCTCATATGAATCGCTGGTGACCACGAGGTAGGTATCATCCACATACGAGAATATCATGACTGTGTCTTCGCCGTGTTCCCGGGCGAAGTCAGTTAACAGAGGCGCGGAATAGAAAAGGTAGAGAAGTGGCGAGAGTGGGCTTCCTTGCGGGATGCCGACATCGATCCAGTACTCGCCGCCCTCGTATCCGGGCATGTTGATATATGTTCGACGATCCGACAAGAAAGACCATGTAATCTCGATCAGCCAATCAGGTATGCCCTTTTTCATCATGCTCTGCAAAAGTTGCTCGCGGTTGATGTGATCGTAGGCGCCGGAAATGTCTAGACCTAGGATGCTCACCTTCTTCTTGAGCGCCCAGCCACGGTAAATGGTGTTGTTCAGAGTTTCAAGAGATAAAGTAGTGCTCAAGCCTGGTGCGCCGAATTGAGTTTTTGGTAGGAGGCCATGTTTGATGACGAGCCCTTTCAGGCGATTGGCGACCAGACGCTCGTACAATTTTCCGATCGTATTCAGAAGTGCTATTGGCCGGTAGGAAGTCGGTTGATCACCGGGCTTACCGGGCTTCTTTATCATGATAGTGATAGTGTCTTTGAAATGGTCTGGATGAATGCGTAACCGGAAACAGGCGTTGAAGATATGCAGCAAACACGGAGCGATGATTTCGCGACACATCTTCAATGCCTCGTAGGGTATGCCATCGACACCAAAAGCTTTGTGGTCTGGAAGATCTCTGATCAGGTCTGATAGCTCCTTGAGTGTGATAGATTCCTCAGAAAGGCCGACAGTCTCTCGATGAGGGTCCAAGTGGGGTAGCGGGAAGGAAGGCTTGGGGGCTGGCTCGGACTGTCCGTATATCAGTACCACTATATAACACAAAGTGACTAGTCAGAGCCATTCGGTGCTTACATCGTTCGTCCAAAACGCGGGCTTCAGGGGAGGGCCTTTGGGCCGGCTATCTGTCCATGTCGAATTTACATACTCGTCTACCTTCTCATGGTTGAGCTTGATGACCTTATTGCCCACTTTGAAGTCCGGTGTACAGGCTAATTGGCGAGGTTCACTCCAGTTGTTTACTTTTCGTGCCAAATGAAAGATGCCGCGGCTGCTTGATGCCTCGATCTCAATACTTTCGCGATAATCTTGCACCGGCGTCGGGGTATCCTGGTTCTCCTGAGAGTTAGACTTAGGCCGAGGGAGGTGATTTGGAGCACGCGGAACGAGAGCCTTGATAGCCGGTTCCAGAACTTGAGTTATGACAGAGTACAGTGCGTTCTCCACTGCGTTGGCATCTGGAAGATCAGCAACCTCGATGTCTTTGAGCCCCTCTGCGACCCGAGCGACAAATGCATCTTTGCGAGCGCGCTTCCATTGATATCGGTCCTTGGTACTGCGATGCATGTCAAGATTGAAGCTAACTGACATGATGCAATGATCCGAATCGAAGCCATCAGCACCTTGAACAATCTCGTGTGTCGCTTGGTCGGCCAGGACATCCTTGATGTAAATAACGTCAATGGTACTCGCAAAGTCGCACTTATCTCTTTCCTTGCGTCCATATGTCACCTCCCCGGTGTTGAGACACTTCATGCTAGCTTCTTTCATTTTTTGGACGAATAATTTGGCCTTGGCTTCAACCTTGTGTTTAGGGAGATCGTTTCCGGCCCAGTCCGGATGATGCAGGTTGATGTCACCTACCAAGACGTGTGCCTGATCTGAGCTCATCAGGTCATTTGCCAGCTCAACCACATCAAGGCGCTTTTCGTGGTTGTAGACGTTGTGGAAAGCCATTCTGTATCCATCGGCAAGTGTGACGCGAAGCGTAGAGTGGATCCCTTTGTTATTGCCCATGGCCTCCTGGATTCGACAGCTTCTGAGAGACTTTTGAACTAAGAAAGCAACTTTGGACAAAGGAACAATCTTTTTCTCCGCTGCGGGTGTACGGCTGTATGGTTTTCGGTATGTGTAAGTGCTTGGATCGTTGTCTCGGGTTAGTACCTGAGGATTGCCATCATCATCGTCGGCCGCGCTATACAGATTGCCATACGATGTAAAGGATTTGAAAGCGAACTTGGGTGGTGGGTCCTGAATCGCGATGATGTCTGGAGGTCTTTGTAAAGTTGCCAGATACTCTGCAAGCGCGTTTAGACGCGCTGGCGCCATCTTTGTATTGACCGAAAAGAGGAGACACCGTCCGTCATGGAACTTGCGCACCTCGATAGGTGTGCGTTGTATGTTGTCAGAAGCTGGCTTCGGACGCGAGGAAGTCTGGCATAATTGTCAATCAATGTACCTGCGCAGGTGATGTGATGCCACTCGGAGCTAAGCTACCTTGGGACCGCCAGTAGGCACCTTCTATTGTTTCATCAGCTCGTGTCAACTAAGAAGATTCGTAATGCATTACCCGTTTACGTTTAGCCATTATGCGTGAGGACTTTGTGTGGGGACTTTGCGTGAGGACTTTGCGTGAGGACTTAGCGAAGACGTTTCATATCGAAATCGATGGATGTGTTGGGAAAGAACTGTGTCTCTAGCGTGAAAGAGAGGAGAATTTCCTTGAGAATATATACAAGAATCTGCGACGAGCTAAGCGCGATAGAGCCAGACATAAATCGGCATCTAAACACCACTGTTCGTCAGTGGCGGCCAGTCCATCCGGCAAGCTCACAGTGAATATTACACTCAGAATCAGACATATCGCAATAAGCAGGGATCCAGCCCTCGGAATCCGAGCGGAGAGCCTGAGTTGACCTGGCGTACCTACAATCCTTCGGCCTGCCGGCCTCTGGGACTACAAATCGATTTCTGCATTGTTGCCTCGACACCGGAACCAGGCGCAAACGGAACGGTGAATCTTGTGGAATGTTCGGTCCATGCGGCGGGAACACCGCGTAGAGCCACACGCGGCTTTGGCCAGATCTCGGCTTCGGCTACACCACTTTCCGACCAAATTACACGCAGCGACGTTGCGCGGGGGCCCGGCTAAGGTATGAATGGTAATGGCTCATAGCTAGAAAGTTCGCGTGCTGCGGATTGTCCGGTGGGGTAGCGACCTCGGGAGTGTCGCTCCTGAAGTTCTCAGGGTCCATTTTACGGAAAGGGATTAGCCTACATACTCATATCTTAGCGCATCGGTGATACTGCAACGCGGGAACTTCATCCGAACGTGCATACTACCTAGGTACGGACCTCAACAGCAACGTAACGCGCGCGTTTGGACGTGATCACTCTACTTGCATGCGTCATCTGGCCTTGCCAACATCAAAAAGTCGTGACATGTGAGGATTCAAGCCGTCGGGTAGGCATATTGGAACCGTCCCAAGGTACCTTTTCATCTCATCCACTTGAGTAAGACTTGGTCCCTTCGTGACCTCTTTTCAGTTAGTCAATGTGTTGCTTTCATGTTCACGCAGCCGTGAACCACTTTTTGGAACCGGCACATTGTGCAAAGGAGATTTGGGGGTTCTTCTCGGTGGTTCTCAGCTTCCACGGTAGCCTCATACTTCATGTGCTGTATCACGACTAGGATAACATTAATGATCGGAGCTCTTGGAGCTGCGGTCCTCCTCATTCGAGAGCATATCCCTTCCTCTAAGTCGTATGATTGCATACGGAGGGTGCAGCCGGCTCGCCATTCGAGCTTATCTAGAGACACTCAAGGTCCTCTTTTTTCCCTGCATAAGTATCTAAATAGATCGACAATATCAGGAGTCTAGCACAACTCTTCGGTAAACCCCTAAAGACCTCTCATATACATCACCATGTACCAAGCCGGGACCGTATGGAGCTGCCGATGGGGCTGCCGATGGACCTCCATCTTGGCACTTTGAGGACACTTCTACGTACCATGGCCGAGGGAAGACTGTGAGGCTATATAAGAGCTACTCGCTATTGTTTTCTCATGTTCGACAGCTTGTTAGATATCATTCCTGTCAAGATCAGATCTCAGAGCTGCAGCTTTGGAAAAGTAAGTAGCTGAGTCTTTCACAGTAATGTACCCAGCTCTAATCTTGGAACTTCTAGGCAACACACATCGGTGTTTTTCGTCAGTCGAACTCTAAGCCTGATATCCCGGAGCCGAGCAATCCAGGCCGTTGCTACACAACTCTTCTACAATACGCTAGGACACCGTCGATAGTCCTGACGCACAAGCTACGATATACTTGTGTCCTCGGGTTCCCGGCTTCTAGAACCCTTCACTACAAGTACATTCACAATCAAATTTGCAGCGGGCTTGATCTTACAACAGTCTTCAAATCGGTAAGGGCGGGCTTTTGCTATCTGAGAGGTCTTTGTTAGTAACGCGTCGTCACAGTGGCATCGTAGGACAAGTCGTTACAGATCTCGTTCCATGTACTTATCATTATGAACCTGCAATCCGATGCCTCGTTGGAGGACGCCAGGGATGACGTCGCTAGAGTCACACCCGAGCACAACGAGATGGAAGACGCAGATGCTGAGACAGAGCAAGATTTCGGTCTTAACCTGACTACCCAGGACCTGGTAAAAGTCCAGTCAGATTACAACAGAAAGTTAAGGGTCGTCAACCAGAGGCTCAAAGAAAAGAGGAAGAAAGACGAGAACGAGGCGAAGACGAAGATTCAGCACCCAGAAGGAACAGCGCCACAGGACCTGACCCGAGGAAAAGCAGCGAGTGAGGACAGAACTGGACTGGAAGAGAACGCGACATCCCGCAGCTGCACCTCGACCAGCCCGGGCGTTTCGACAGTAGCCAAGTCCCCGACTGGAACCGTGAAGATAGCGAGTGCCCCGTCCCGTCGAGATCCGGTGCTGCCCCATGTAGCAACTTTTTTTATCGAAACTGCCGAGGAATTCAACGACCTCGAGATCTGGGGATGGGGAGGTATGCGGCCGAAAATCTACCCATTTGGAGAGCCCTTTTCGAAAGTACGCTATATTGGTTTCAAGGATAATACCAACGGCGGCACCACAAAGGGTACAAGAGATCTCCTACTGTACATGGAGGACGCAGACTCGCTCGACATGCTGCGGATGCAAAGGTACTCCACTCAATTTTGCAACCTCATCGAAATATCGCCGGGAAGTCGACAATCGTTCAAATTCTACTGGGTGAGGCTCTATCACACGATGAAGAGCCCGAGGACAGACGAGCTTAAAAGCAAACTTAAATCATGGTGCGAACTCACTGGATTGGAATACAAAGATGTGGAGGTAAAGGACGGGATGGTCCTAGTATCGTTCGACAAACTCGCGGATGCGCTAAAATCGTGCAAATATCTACATGCTCCAGGCAATGGTTATGTGAGGGGGGAACCGTTTGACAAAAAAAGCCTCCCGTTGTACTATTTACGCTGTAGAGGACCAGCGTGTCTAACAAACTGCACTACTTTTTAGTATAATACAGTGTACGTTGTATGTTAGCCTATACGTATAGAAGTAACTACTAGCCTATATTATAACTATATAAAGTAATAGTAAAGAAGTTATAGTATAGCTAAGTATAGTATATAGCTTAGAGCTATTAGACTTTAGCTAGAAGTAGGCTAAGTAGACTAGAGATTACGTGTAAGGCTAAAAAAAGTCTATATAGATAATTATCTAGTATTATAGTTATTACTACTATTGCTTATAGCTAATATAAAAGGTAAAAAGAAATATTTTAAGTCTATTTTAAACGCAAAAAAAAACTTACAGCGCTCTAATCTAATTCTTATTAAGACTATTTAACGCTAAATAAGTCTAATTTAAGATAGTCTTACGCTTATAAAATTAGATTAATAGAGATAGCAAAGTCTTTATTTATAGTAATAGGCGTAACTACTATACTATAAAGAGTTTATAGAATAATAGAGTATAACTTAAATTTTTAATATATATTTTAAGGTAGTAATAGTGTATATATTCTAAGATTGTAAAGCTATTATAAGGCTAATATCTAGCTTACTATAGTATTATAAGTTAATTATAGCAGAATTTTATTAATTACTATAGTAATATATTATAACTTTAAAAGCTCTAAGAGCTTAGAACTTTAATACTCTCTATAAGCCTAAAAATAGCGCTATTATTTAAAATTCTTACTCTTTCTAGCTATATATTAATAGAGTTAATAAGGTTATTAGCCTAGAGAAGTATATAGAGATTGCAAGATGTTTAAGATAGGTAGCTAGAAAGTAGCTAGGTTTAGACAATAGTATAAAAAGTAGTAATAATAGCTATATCTTATTAGTATTCTTTATACAATACTATATTATAATATAATATAATAAGAAGATTTACTAGCGCTACTTTCTTTACTTTCTTAACTTCTACAGCTTATATAGTATACTACGCTACTACTACTTACTATCTTCTTACGCTACTAGAATTACTAGCTCTATTACTTTAAGTAATACTAACGCCTTTAGATATCTTCTTATAAGTATCTAAAGCTTTAGAGGTAGAAGATAAAGCTAGAGATAGTAATAACTTTATTATAGACTTTAGTTACGTCTACTATAATAATAAGTGTCTTAAGCTATATAAACTTAGCTATACTATATTATATAAGAGCTAGCTTACTAGTAATTATAAAGCCTTCTTAATTTAGTATTATAGCGTTAGAATTAGCTATAACAGCCTAAGTAGAAAGAAGAAGTTATTCTAGTTATGTAAGCGCTACTATCTTAGCTTCTCTAATAACGCTCTTAAAGTAGTTAATAGCTATAACTATATTAAGAAGTATATAGTAAATAAGTACTATATTAACGTTAATATAGGCCTATTACTAGAGACTAATAAGCTACTATATAGCTTTCTATTTACTGCTGCAAAGGTTACTAGTTTAAATAAGTTAGTATTATATACGCTATAGAAGAAGAAGAAGCTATAGGCTACGCTTATTAACTAAGTAATACTATAGAATATTAGCTTTAATATCGCAACTTTAATAAAGCTATAAGAGCTACTTACCTAGAATTATACTAGTCTTCTTAAGACGCTACTAGTAGTAAAGTTAATAATTACTAGCTATATATAATTAACTTACACGTGTTAGATAAGTAAGATTAAGATACTATTATAGATAGTAAGTAGCTAGATTAGTATAAGTATTAACGTATAGATATTAAGTAATTATTTAAGTTTTCTTAGAGTAGTAGCGCATTTCTTAGATAAAATTCTTAGTACCTATAACTTATTATAATAACTAGCTAACTATTTAGACTCTTAATATAAGTAGTGTAATATTTTAATTACGTTTTATAACCTCTATAGTAATTACACTAGCGCTGCGTAAGCTGCTATTATACTTAGCGTTCTTAATAAGTTTATAGTTACACTATAATTATAAGCCTTTATTAGTAATAACGCCTCTAATAATAATAGTAAGCTTATTAAAGGCCTTAACTAGTACTCTAATATCTACCTCTTCTTAAGTAATTATATACGCTACACTAGCTATATTATAAATCTTATTATTAAGACAACGCTATATAGTAAAAGCGTTAACTAGTTTAAGAATAACTTTATAGAGGCGTCTATAATATAATAATATAAGCTCTTTTAATTATAAAGTATTATTAGTAAGCTCTATAACTTTATAAATATAGTCTACGCGTTTTATAAGTATTATAAGCTCTTTCTATTAGTATAGAAGAAATTGCTTAATAATAATAACACTTTATATACTTATAATACGCTCTAGCTACGCTAAAATAAAGGCGTCTACTAGTACTTAGTATATTATATACTTCTCTACTACCTAGAGCTTTAGAATAGTATATAGCGCTTTATAATAAGGTTATAGAACTTATTATAATAGCTTAATAACGTCTATAACTTACTTACTAACGCGCTTACTAAGAAAAAGTAGAAGACTATATAGTAGCTTATTAACTTTCTATAGCTACTTATTAAGATAATAAAGCGTCTTAAAAGTAGTAATAGCGTCTCTAGATTTAGATTACTATAGTAGACCTTAATAAATTTATAAACTTTATAGAATTACTATATAATAAAGAGCGCCTGCCTTAATTACTTTAATAATAGTAGTAGCGCGTACTTTGCTACTACTATTATATATAGTAAGTAGAAGCTTAACAACTACTTTAATAGGCTTATTATTAGCCTAGATATTAGCTACTATTACGTTGTAATAGCTCTCTACTTTACTCTACGCTTTACCTAGTTTTAGACTTAGTAGAAGCTATATTCTAACTAGGTAAAGGCTATAGAGGCCTCTGTTAAGAAGGTTTATAGTAAGTATTTAGTAGTAGAGCTAGATAATAAGAAGCTAGAGCTACTACTACTACTACGCTGTAAGATACTTAATAGTAATAATAATAACCTATATAGTTAGATAATAGTAGTAGATATATACTATTTTACTAGTAATAAAACGCGTAAGCGCTAGAAGCGTAGCACCTAGCTTAAAAAGTACTTTAATAACCTTTGTAATAATATACTTATATAGTTAAACGCGTAACATAAGCTTTTTTATAACCTATAGTACTAGTAGCTTTAAGTTAGCTATAATAAGTACCTAATTATATTCTAGATAGCTACTAATATTCTCTCTATTTCTACTACTAGCTATAAGTATAAGCACTGCTTTTTAACTACTAAATAGATAATTACTAATAATTATAACTACTTTAGAGCGTCTATAATAGAGACTCTATAACTCTAGAAGAACTAGCTACGTAATAATATTATTAAGAGTAAGCTTTTATAGCTAGATTACTATATTAAGAGCTTAGAGATAGATAGTAATAGTAATAGTAAGGCTATAAGTAGTAGTAGTAATAGTAGAGATTATAGTAATAACCTAGGTTAAGATTACTATTTCTAGAGCTTCTATAGTATTAACTATAGCTTTAATTTACTACTTTATAGTAATAGGTTACCTAATTAGGTATATATTTAATGTATAAGTAGCCTAAGTAACTATACTATAGTTTTTAGCTATATTGTATTTACTACTATATATATAATACTAATAATTAAGCTATACGTAGCGCACGATAGCCTTAAAAGTACTGTACTACAGTTTGTTAGACACGCTGTGGAGGACTAGGTTACATGGCACACTCCCGAAAGTGTCCTTAACAAGGAACGGACAAGAGCTACAAGCGCGATTATGACGGCAAACCAATCTGGAATTGTCTCTGGTGCAACATACCCCATAAGCACAGAGGCAGGTGCCAAGCTCCGCAGAAATGTCGCAATTGCTCGCAACTTGAAATCAAGCCAGACAACCATAACACGGAGTCCGATCGTTGCAGAGCGCCTGATTCAGTAGCACATCGCAAAAAGTGCAGAGAGATCAGAAAGACATGGCCGTCGTGGGCTGAGGGGGCTGACATACCCGAGAATCCCACATTCGAACCATTGAAGGCCCCGTCAACCACAACCCCTCCGAACAGCCAGCCAAAACCTAGGGGTAGGCCACCTGGATCTTCAAAAAAGACACAGGCTCTCGAAGAAAAGAACAGGTCGCAGAACGTTTTCGAATCACGATTGGGCAAAGACAAGGACCACCCCATGACGGTCGAAGAAGAGGAGAGTAACACGCAGCAGAGAGCTCAAATTACTTCCGACCAGGATGCCGCGAGGGAGTTGGACTTCCCAAAGCAAGGAAGTAGGAGAGTGAAAGCTCGAGCGGTAGCTGAGAAACGTGGAAGCGCATCGAAGAGGAAGGCCCCTGCGCATGCCGATACCGACGATGAAGACGAACGGCAAAACGGCCATGGAAAGCGTGTGTGTGAAGAGGACTGGGGGCCTTTGTCTCAAAGAACCCGTTTTCAAAACAACGCGACTCCTGCTCAGCGATCATCGGCACTTGAGATTAGCATGGCCAGATCAGGTTTTGTTTGTCCAGAAGACAGTTCTACCGATGCTTCGACCGGATCTACCGAGAACTCTTCCCAGACTTCGCTCGCCAGCAGTACCACGCAGCCTGAACGGATGCGTAAAGCCATGTCGCCGCAGATCGTGATGGTTGCCGAGGATGAGTTGGAACAGGATGAGGCGCAAGATACTGAAGACTGGATGGAAGCAGTCTTCACCTCCAACGATGATGACTCCGAATACATGGCCGACATGCATTGATTCTAGAATGCCGCATTGCAACTAGGCGTATTGGCAGGTTTCGTATTGTTTTTGGGTCACCGCATTTCGCTATCCGTCGCCCTGTCGTCGATTCTTGTTGGATCGAAGACAGAATGGGTGGAATTCTGACGTACTTCTGTTCGTGGGTATTGCCACCAGATGACGCGTGTAAGGCGTTTGGATGAATATTCTTTAGTAGGTCAAAACACAAAAAAAAAAGAATATAAAGAAAGCGGACTGTGCTGTTATAGCACCTCCGGAAAATCTCTCGTTCTTCTGCCCGTCGAGTGTCTGCCAGGATCAGTTCGTGGACCGTTGTCAAGCGTAGCTTGGACTGCATTAGTCTTTGGATCCCATCCCATGATGGCCATTACCTCAACCTCTTTCTTACCCACTGTGCGGCAGCGAACGGCGATATTCCTTGTATGAAATGACCCCACGGAAAGAGTAGATCAACTCGGCTGCTGTGCGTAGAGCTACTATCTATACAGAATATCTAGCCACGTTATTTAATAAAATAAGTTTACATAACCTGAAAGAATCTAAAGAAAGATTAGCGCAAACAAACAACCTTAATATGCGGCAGCGTATCTAACGTAACATACTACAGTACTTTTAGAAGCACTTAGAGGTACATATAGCCTAGTTTTATTTAATATACGTATAGTTTATTAGCAAACTAATTCTATAGCGCAAACTAGTCTAAAAAGAGTAAGGTTTATTACTAGTATATAAAAAGACGTATTTCTAAAAAGGTTAAAATATTATATTTAGAGGTGTAGGCGTTAGGTAGGCTAAAGCTTAGATCTTTAGCGCTACTACTTTTAGCGTAGTTAAAGCTTTTAAAATTTAGAGTAGTAAAGTAACTATTCTATAAATACTAATATTTACCTATACTATAGTAGAGAGAATTATAATATAATTATATATTCTTAATAGCTTATAACTAACTAAGCTATAAATTATAAAGTAATAAAATACTAAAATCTTAGCTTATAAAATTATACTTCTGTATATATACTCTCTATTCTCTACCTCTATTTTTATTTTATAGCTTATAGTAAAATTAGAGATCTAAAAACTTATTAAAAATATAAATAGTAGCTTAAATCTAATACTAGTGCCTTGTATCTAATTTTATAGACTCTATTTAGTAAAAAGATATTAAAAGACGCCTAGCTTTTGTTCTAGAACTACTAGAAGATTTTAAGATTTTAATATATTTAGTATATATTACTATTAGCACTAAGGCTTCTAACTAATAATATATTACTTTTAAGGTCTTACTAAGAAAAGAAACTTTTTAATATCTTACTATATTTAATCTTTAGCTATTAATATAATATAACTTAAGTAGCTAATAAAGATAACTACTCTCTTAGTTCTTAAAAGTAACTATAATAGTAGAATACTAATATAGCTACTATCTATTTAATAGTATTATTACACTAGAGGTAGATCTTAAACACCTTATTCTCTTTAGTTTATTTATTACTACTTTAGCTAAAGATTCTAATAAACACCTTATACTAGTATATAATAGCTACTTTTATCTTTATAAGTAGAGCTATCTATAGCCTAAGCTTATATATAAAGTTATAGATATAAATAGCGTAGATAATTAATAAATTACTCTAGGTAGAAAGAGTAACGCTAGTAATATAATAACTATCTTATTACTCTCTTTAAAGTAGGTATAGTCTATAAAAGAACTTCTATATATTACTAGTAAGTTACTTAAAAGCTTAGCTATAATAAAGAACTATAAAAAGTCTTAGTCTATGTATTAGAAGCCTTTATAGTAGTAGTATAATAATCTTAATAGTATTAATAGTATTAATAGTAGTAATAGTCTTAGTAGTCTTAAGACATAATATAAGATAAGTAAGATAGGCCTTAAAAGCTCTAATAATAGCCTCTATAATAGCTTTAATAATAGTCTATATAATAATTACTAGAATAGTCTAACTAAGAGCTTTCTTTTTAGTAGTAGTCTTAGAGCAGTCTATAGAAGCTTTAATAAGTAACGTAGTATAAGAATATAATTAATATAGGTATAGAAAGAGGTAATATAACTAGTAATAAGATTAGCTTTAGACTTACTAATACTAGAAAAACTTATAAAAGAGTAGTAACGTAGTTAAGAGCTTATTTAGTGTACTAGTGTATAATAGGCTACGCCTAGAAAAGTTCTTAGCTAGAAACCTTAGAAACCTAGTCTAGTTTTAGCTAAGCTTAGAAAACTCTTCTAAAGTATATAGCTATCTAGAAAGCTCTTCTTTCTAGGCTATTAAATTTATCTATTACTTTTCTAGTATCTACTCTTAGAGTTAGCCTCTTATAATTAAATTTAATTAATACTCTAAGAAGGTTTATAGAAACTCTCTTATTATAGATATAATTTTATATATTTTAGTAAAGAATATAGCCTAGTATACTATTACTCTAGTAAAGTAGAGTAATAGCTAAGAGTATATTACTTAGTAACTTTAGTCTATATTAGACGTAGAAATAGACGCTAATAAAAGATAGACTAAACTTTAGCTAGTTAAAGAGATGCTAAGAATATAAACTAAATAGACCTTAGTCTTCTTCTTCTTAGATATATCTAACTCTAACTAATCTATAAAGAATAATACTACTTCTCTAGAACTATCTATAGAACTAGTAATTACTTAAGAAACACTAAACCTTCTCTATTATAGAATTACGTAACTTAAGAATAATATATAATATAACTTTCTTTCTCTAAATACGCCTACCTTTTTTTTTTTTTCTACTTTAACTAATATATACGCTATAAAAGCTAAATAAGCTAAAGCTAAACTTTTTAGGCTATAAAACGCCTAAGCTAACTTATTATAATTTATTAAGATTCTAGACTTCTACTCTTTTACTAGAGACTAAAGTAACTACTAAAAGTTTAAACTCTAAATAGTAAATAAGCTATAATATAATAGAGAGAGACTAGAAAGCTAACTAAAGTATATCTTCTCTAAGTTAATAGATAGAGTAGTAAGTATTACGCTATCTTAGATAAGTTATTTTAAAAAGTCTAGTAACGTAAATACGTTCTAGAAGTTTCTAGACTAGTAGTTTTTAGATAATATATTAGAGAAGAGATTATAAAGAAAGTTAATAATATTTAAGTAAAGTAGTAAAGTATACTTAGATAAATTTAACGCAGCTTTTATAAAGCTTACTTTTAATACTAAAGAATTCTATAATAAGTACTTTAAGATATAGTATCTTAGTACTTTAAGACTAGACTTTAGATAGTTTATAATACTTATAGTTATTCTAGATAACTAGACTATTACGCAACTAATAGATTACGTAAGAATTATTAAGAAAAACTAGTACTACGCAAAGCTAGAGTAAAACTTTAATAAGTTCTAAACTAGATAGTTAATAGAT